TTTTCTCTTTTCTCTTTTTTTTTTTTTTTTGTTTTCTTTCTTTTCTTTGATTTTTTTAAAATCTAAATAAAATTTAAAAAAAAACCTAAATTAAGTCCTAAATCAATCTAATTTGTAGAAATGAACTTAGTTATCTATTTTACCATAATTAATTAATTTAAACTAATGAAAGAAAGATTACTAATTTGCAATTTAAAGCTAAAATGTAAAAATGCAATTAGTCCTAAGATGTTATGCACGAAATACTTTAGACATTTTGGTTTTTTTTTTTTTATGATTTTAGAATGTTAAATATGCAACTAAATGCAAGCAACTTTTAACTAAAATTCCTACAAATTCTATAAAAAAAAAACTAAAAACAATTAAGAAAAACTCTATTCGTGAATTTCTATAGGAATATTTTAGTCGGGCAAAAATCACGTGCTCACACATATGTGATTCTGAGGACCAATGTTTCTGGATTTACTGATTTCGGGGATTGAGTTTGTTTTCATAAGTTAACTCCCTTACTTTTTCTGTGTTTTCTTTCCTGTTATTATTATTATACTGCGTGCAGGTTATTGTTAGTGACATGCCTTAGCCTTGTCACTATTTCGTCGAGGGTAGGCTCGGCACTTACATAGTACATGAGGTCGGTTGTACTCATACTACACTCTGCACTTCTTGTGCAGATTTTGGAGTCAGTCCTAGTGGCGGTCAGTAGATTGCTCGGATTGATTGCTTTACCGGGACTTGAGGTACAGTTGCACGGCGTCCGCAGCCCTGAAGTCCCCTTTCATATCTCTCTTGCTGTTTACTGTATTCCAGACAGTTATGCTTTCATTCAGACTTTTATTTATAGTACTCTAGTCGCTCGTGTACTTGTGACACCAGTTCTGTGATTGTGTCTAGATATTATGATTTTCTCACTCTATTTCAGTTTATTCAGTTTCTTGGTTATTACTTAATTTGAATTGTTAAAAATGACTAAAAACTATTCGAACGTTGATTTGCCTAGCAAATGAAATGTTAGGCGCCACGCCATCACGATTCCGAGAGTGGAAATTTCAAGCCGTGACACAAGAACTCACGACGATATCCTCAAAAATTTGAGTTCAAAAGGAAAAAGAAAAGAAAAAGTTCACTAATTCAAGAGGAAACAATCAAGGTCTAAATAGGCAATTAGAAGGAAGATTCCAATCACTAGTTGATTGTTATTATACTACTAAATTTTAGTTAATACAAAAAGAAAGTAACGCTTGGCCTACTTTTTTTCTTTTTAAATACGTCTCTTCTTGTTCTTTAGGGGAATAAGAATGCGATAGTCCTATTCAATTCAATTTTCCAAAAAAAAAAAACATAAAAATAAATAATATTACCCAACAATTTCTCTGAGCAAGGCAATGACAAGACGGGCAAGGTAGGTGTAGACTATGAATTTTAATTTATCAATTATGACGAGGCGTACAGGTCAGAACATGTAATTTTCTTCCAATTTGGTAGTATTAAAATAGAAAGTCAATGCTACTTGATGTGTTAACTATTAGTAAATGTAGAGCAACTTATTATTTAAAACTAATGTGAAAACTAGAGTTTCAAAATTCTTATTGTTCTTAAAATGCGTCTAGATCAAATGAACTGTTGGACTGTTTCGGTCCTTATAGTTTGTACTGTATATAATCAGTTAGTTAACACATCAAATAGTTATCCTCAACTCTAGCAAAAGTGAGAAAGAGAAGGTATAAGACCCTAGTAATTTCGGCAAAACTGTGTTAACAAACAATACTAGTTTGCATATTGCTCTAGCATTACAAACAACAACAACAACAATAACTCAGTATAATCTCATTAGTGAGGTCTAAATAGGTTATTATGGACACTCCTACTCTGCTGTAGAGAGTCTGTTTCCGATAGATCCTCGGCTCTCTCCCTCCAAGAACTCGCCACCTTGCTCTTGGGGTTACTCGAACTCACAACCTCTTGGTTGGAAGCAGAAGGTGCTTACTACTAGAGCAACCCACTCTTGTCAAAGCATATTGCTCTAGCATTGAATAGGTAAAAGAAAGCTCTAAGCAGAGACTGTTTTAAGATAGAAACATTAATCTTATCCAAATTCTTAACGATTTAGCAATTCACTATTTTTCTTTGCAGCTCTCAGAAATGGAGATTGGTTTAGCAGTTGGTGGTGCATTTCTCTCTTCAGTTTTTAATGTTCTCCTTGATAGGCTTGCTCCTCAGGGTGAGCTGCTGAAGATGTTTCAGAGGCAAAAACATGATTTTCGACTCTTAGAGAAGCTGAGGAGGACATTGTGTGGTTTTCGGGCTGTACTAAGTGATGCAGAGAATAAGCAGACATCGAATCTAGACGTGAGTCAGTGGCTTAATGAACTTCGGGATGCTGTGGACAGTGCTGAAAACTTAATCGAAGAGGTCAATCATGAAGTTTTGAGAATTAAGGTAGAAGGTCAGCATCAAAATCTTCCAGAAACAAGCAAACAACAAGTAAGTGACCTGAACTTGTGTTTGAGTAATGATTTTATTATTAACATAAAGGAGAAACTGGAATACACCATTGAAACTCTGGAGGAGTTGCAAAAGCAAATTGGTCACCTTGGCCTTAAAGAGTATTTTTATTCGGGTAAACGAGAAACTAGAAGACTTTCAACTTCTGTGGTTGATGAATCTGATATCTTTGGTAGGCAGAATGAAATAGGGGAATTGGTTGACCGTTTATTATCGGTTGATACAACTGGAAAAAAATTGACTGTAATTCCTATTGTTGGAATGGCTGGGATTGGCAAAACAACACTAGCTAAAGTTGTTTACAATGATGAGAAGGTGAAAGAGTATTTTGATTTGAAAGCTTGGTTTTGTGTGTCTGAACCATATGATGCTTTTAGAATAACAAAAGGGTTACTTCAAGAAATTGGCTTAATCCTTGATGCCAATCTTAATCAGCTACAGGTCAAATTGAAGGAAAACTTAAAGGGAAAAAAGCTTCTTATTGTTCTAGATGATGTTTGGAATGACAACTATAATGAGTGGGATGATTTGAGAAATCTTTTTGTACAAGGAGGCGTAGGAAGTAAGATCATTGTGACAACACGTAAGGAAAGTGTTGCTATGACGATGGGTAATGACGACCAAATTAGCATGGACACTTTGTCTAGTGAAGTCTCTTGGTCTTTATTCAAACGACATGCATTTGAAAACATGGATCCTAAGGAACATCTAGAACTTGAAGAGGTTGGGAAACACATTGCAGCTAAGTGCAACGGATTACCGTTAGCTCTAAAGACACTTGCTGGCATGTTACGCTCCAAATCAGATACTGAAGGGTGGAAACACATTTTAAGAAGTGAAATATGGGAGTTGTCGGACAATGGCATAATACCAGCATTAATGTTGAGCTACAATGATCTTCCCGCACATTTGAAGCGATGTTTTTCCTATTGTGCAATATTTCCCAAAGATTATCCATTTCGAAAAGAACAAGTAATTCAATTGTGGATTGCTAATGGCCTAGTACATGGGTTGCAAAAAGATGAAACAATTGAAGATTTGGGCAACCTATACTTTCTCGAGTTGAGATCAAGATCATTGTTCGAAACGGTCCGACAGTCTTCTCAAAGGAAGGTAGAGGAATTCTTAATGCATGACCTTGTTAATGATTTGGCCCAAATTGCATCTTCAAAACTTTGTATCAGGTTGGAAGATAATAATGGATCTCATAGATTGGAAAAAAGTCGACACCTCTCATATTCAATGGGTTGTGATAACTTTGAGAAATTGAAATCCCTGCATGAATTGGAGCAATTGAGGACATTGCTTCCGATAAGCCTCAAACCCAATTATATTCCAATTTATCTAAGCAAGAGGGTGCTGCATAACATATTGCCAAGACTAACATCCTTAAGGGCACTATCATTGTCTCATTATGCTATCAAAGAGTTGCCGAATGACTTGTTCATCAAATTAAGACTCCTAAGGTTTTTGGACCTTTCTTGGACAAAGATAAAAAAATTGCCAGATTCAGTTTGTGTACTGTATAACTTAGAGACATTTCTCTTATCATTTTGTGATTATCTTGAGGAGTTGCCATTGCAGATGGAAAAGTTGATCAACTTACGTTACCTTAATATTAGCGGCAATTCTCGCTTGAAGATGTCGTTACATCCAAGAAAGTTGAAAAGCCTCAAGGTCTTAGTGGGAGCTAAATTTCTTCTAAGTGGTTGTAGTGGTTTGAGAATCGAAGATTTGGCTGAATTGCAGAACTTGTATGGATCTGTATCAATTCTAGAATTGCAAAATNATCATTCTATTGCAAAACTTGTATGGATCTGTATCTATTCTGGAATTGCAAAGCGTGGCTGACATAAGGGAAGCTTTGAAGGCAAACATGAGGGGAAAGGAGCATATAGAGAAGTTATCATTGGAGTGGAGTGGAGATATTGCCGACAACTCACAAAATGAAGGAGACATACTTGATGAGTTACAACCAAATACAAACATAAAAGAACTCGAGATCACCGGATATAGAGGGACAAATTTTCCAAATTGGCTAGCTGATCATTCCTTTCTTAAACTGGTGAAATTTTCTCTTACTGACTGCAAGTATTGTTATTCGCTGCCCGCACTAGGACAACTTCCTTCTTTGAAATTCCTTACCATTAGAGGGATGCATCAAATATCAGAGGTGACTGAAGAATTCTATGGTAGTTTGTCTTGCAAAAAGCCATTTAACTCTCTTGAGATGCTTGAATTTTCAAAGATGCTAGAGTGGAAGCGGTGGCATGTACTAAGGAATGGGGAGTTCCCTGCACTTCAGTACCTCAGAATTGAAGATTGTCCCAAGTTGATTGGGAGGTTGCCTGAAAATCTTTGTTCTTTAACAACATTGAAAATTTCAAAATGTCCTAAACTCAATTTGGAGACACCTATCCAACTTTCAGGTTTAAAAGAGTTTGAAGTTGTTGGTTCTCCTAAGGCTGGAGTTCTTTTTGATCATGCTGAAATGTTTACATCCCTACTTCAGGGAATGAAGCACATAGTTAAATTAAATATTATTGAGTGTTACTCTCTTACATCCTTACCTATTAGCAGTCTGCCAAGTACCTTGAAGGAAATAAAGATATATCAAAATCAGAAATTGAAATTGGAGTTGTCAGTTAGTGAGATGATCTCTAGCAGAAGTCACATGTTTCTCGAGAGATTGACACTAGCTGGATGTTATTCTATAGATGATATACCAGCTGAGTTGGTCCCAAGTGCACACATTTTGAGAATTGAGCGTTGTCACCGCCTCACAAGGCTTTTGATTCCCACTGGGATTGAGATACTCGAAATTAACAGATGTGAGAATCTTGAAATACTTTCGGTGGCATGTGGGAAACAGACCAGGTCGTTGCATGACTTGCATATTAACAAAAGCCAGAAGCTGAAGTTGCTACCAGAAGGAATGCAAGAATTCCTTCCATCTCTTAAGAAACTGATACTAGAAAATTGTCCAGAAATCGAGTCCTTTCCTGAAGGAGGATTGCCCTTCAATTTAGAAGTCCTTCACATCGTCGATTGCAAGAAACTGGTGAATGGCCGAAAGGAGTGGGGTTTACAGAGACTTCCCTGTCTCACAAGTTTACGCATCTTCCATGATGGCAGTGACCAAGAGATTCTTGGTGATGAGAATTGGGAGTTGCCTTGCTCTATTCGACGTCTTTGGGTATCCAATCTGAAAACATTAAGCAGCCAAGTTCTCAAAAGCCTCACCTCTCTTGAATTTCTATTTACTTACAATTTACCTCAAATTCAGTCACTGCTAGAAGAAGGGCTTCCCTCGTGTCTTTCTCATCTAACATTAAATGATCATAATGAGCTCCATTCACTACAAACCGAAGGTCTTAGGCGCCTCACTTCGCTTCGAAGCCTAAAGATATACCACTGCCATCAACTCCAATCTATTCCAGAATCAGCGCTGCCCTCCTCCCTCTTTGAGCTGTTTATTGAAAACTGCCCTAATCTCCAATCTGTTCAAGTAAAAAGAAAGCCGTCCGTCCTCTCTCTGCTGCATATCTGTCACTGTGGTAATCTCCAACCTCTTCCAGAATCAGTGTTGCCTTCCTCCCTATCTAAGCTGGTTATCTTTCATTGCCCTAAACTCCAATCTCTTCCGGTAAAAGGGATGCCCTCTTCCATCTCTACACTATGGATTCACAACTGTCCATTGCTCAAACCAAGTCTAGAATTTGAGGAGGGGGATTACTGGCCAAAAATTGCTCAAATTCCCACCATAAAAGTCGATGAGGAATACCTCTAATGATTATGACGAGTGGTGCTCTGATAAATGTGAGTTTTATTTTCCAGTAGCTCTTATTTGTTGTTTCTACTTCTTTTTGCTTGTTTGTTAATTCTTTCCCTTTGTTAAATCTTGTTGTCAAGGCTATTGCACTGTGAAGCTGAACATATATGAAATTAATAATGTTCACCTAAGTAGATCTCAACAACAATTCACGTTAGTTTCCCTTTTTGCAGTGAGTTGAGGTGGTTCACTCCTGAGATTTGATCTGTCTTCTGGAACTTAAATGTCTAAGTGAAGAAAGGTACTTCTCTTTTGTGTGGAATTTGGCAGTACTACTACTCTTTTGCAAGTGAAGAACAATTCTTCTATGTTCGGTTGATCATTTTCTCTGTTCTATTTTGAATCGATATAATGTCAGTTCTTTCAGTTTGTAGCTGAAATTTTCCTCCAGAACCTATGCAAGAACTCCTTCCATCTCTCGAACGAATTCTAGTTATTTGATTCTCAGAAAATGAGTCCGTTTGTCGTCTAGTTATTTATTCAAGACTCCATTTGTTTGTTCATTAATTCATTTTCTTTTTTATTCTTTCAGACTGCTATGTGTCAAGTGTGGTATGATTGGACAATCATCTCAGCTACAAGGAAAAGTTTCTGCCTGCAGTTGAATAAAGTCTCACATTAATATAATGGTCTGTTTCACAGTTTGAGAAAGAAAAGAAAATCTGTGCAAGTGTTAAGTCATATGTGGAGCATTGACAGTTTTCCCTAAATGAAAGGAATAGATAATTATGTCATCTTAAGCATTTATTCTATGCTGATTTTATTCTTTTTTGTGTTTCGGTTTTGCCTTTAATTTTAGACGTGGTCATGAAATACACAGATCTCTTATTCACGCCAAGTTAAACGAATATAAGCTCTCTCGTCGTGATTTAACACCTCTAAGTAGAAGATATTAATGTAAAAGAAAAGGGAACTTTTGAATATTATCATCTGAAGAACTTTTGTAAACTTCTCTATTTTTATTAGGATTTTGGCATCAGTACATGTGCGTGTGTGTGTTTGTGTACATAAATATTGTGCAGAGGTTTCCTCCTATGTCAAAGTCAAAAATCAAAAAGGACTTGTTATTTCTAGGTCCGCAATTTTGTGATTTGCTTAGTATGACATTAAGCTCTACGTTTTCAGAGTTTATGCATTGCTCTAAGTAATTCTTTAATTTGTTTATTTGGACTATTTAGCATATAGATTTTATAGTACTAGTCTGAGGCTTGGCTCTATTAACATTCATTTGTTTACTAAATTCTTCTGATGTTTTGCATTTCTGTCGTTGTCTAAGCCTGGGGTGTATTTTAAAATTGTCATTTCCTCATGGAAAATTCTTTAGTCTCATGATAGCTGAAGTTTTCCTCCAGAACCCATGCAAGGCAAGCATTCCTTCCATCTCTCGACGAGTTTTGGTTTTTTCTTGCTAGAGAATGAGTCCTTTCCAGTTGGAACGACGACCAACAATCATGATATTGGGCAAAAAAGAGATTCTTGCATATGCAACTCTGGAACTGCTTTGCATAATTGAGGAAGTCACCTCAGTTCGAATTAAAGAGTGCCTTCCTCGGCTTGTGATGTATAACTCGAGCATCAACCCATGCTCCAATATTTCCAAGGATTATAAACTAGTAGAGTACAATACAAGTAAGTTCATTAAATGTTATCAGTGCTTCAGTTTCTTCGTACAATTATGCAATGTTTAACCAAAGAATCCTATATCTTGTCTTAGACTTGTTATATCTCATTGGTTTCAAGTTGATGTGTAAAACTACATTTGATAGCAAATATTGAGAATTTTTTCAGTATTTGGATCACTGAGTATTTGGACCCCACTATGTGGGATTATACTTGTTATATTGTTGTTGTTGTTGGATCATTGAATTTCTAACTACGTTGCATTCGAACTGAGAATCTTATCACTTTTTTGTATCTCTAATAGTTAAATGGATACTAAATTGTCATCTTCCAGGGGATGTACATTTCATCTTTTTGTGTTGGTTCTTTTTAGGCAACTTTGATCTTGGTAATACCATATACTCTTCTTATTTTGCATCAGAGAGGAAATTGAGATTAGACAACACATATATATTGCACATTATGATCAGATTATAAGAAAATTATATTGTTTTTCACTGTTAGGATTTGAACAACAAAGTTCAACGATCATTTCGGAATTTAGTAAAACTGCATTCAAAACCAGAAAATTAGAAATTAGAATAGAAACGTAAAAGTATTCCGAGCCAACAAAATTTCTTGTGTGTCCTTAAGGATTTTAATCCCCTCTGCCTAAGTTATTTGGATTAACTCTTCATAGGATAGAAAAACTATTCTGTAATAGCGACACTTCAAATTATAGAAATTCAACGAACACAAATAACGGAATAAATCACACAATGAAGACTCTATTTGATTTTAGGAATATGCAAAAGTTATTGGAATTTCTGTTGTAAAATTTGAAACAATGCCTGCGTATTTATAGGCAATGAAAGGTTTGAGACGAAGTTGTACAATCCAAAAAGTATATATACAAGATATATGTCTTACACGCATTGGCTTGGTATAAACATTTGGTGTGAGTAAAAATTTTACCCACATCAATAAATACGACTCTTGTTGTCCCTTGGGAAAATATGATCTTTAGATTCCTTCTCGACGAAATTCTCAACATAAATCCTTTCGTTATTTTCGCTCTTTTGTTTCCTCTGCCGCCTGCATCTAATAAACCTCACATCTCATACAAGTATAAGATTACAAGATTAAAAAAATTGACAATGTCAATGCAAAGACAACAAAGTTCTAATAAACCAACACAAGGTACCATGCTCTTTTTCATCTTCTGATTTTATCTGATAATGTCATTTTCTGACTTTTTTTTAAAAGAAAAGTTGTTTTAGTACGTGAATATATAGTTCTTTGCCTCCACTTGTTTTTCTCTTAATTTTATTTTAAGGTTGGTTTGGTTACTTTCTTCACTTTAACCGTAATTATGAACAAAGGCAAATCCAGAAATTTCGCATAAGATATTCAAAATGTAGTACATCATTATATAAAAAGTAATTTTTGACTTATATATGCAGTATATATAATTATCCAATAAAGGGCATTCAACTGACCACCACCGTTTACTTTATGTGGCTACCGTGCTGATAGGATGTAGTAAGAGTGGCCGTCCTACATTGTGTGTAATAGTTAATGACCAAACATTGGAAAAAATGTTGTCCTTTTACTTTCTATATGTAACTGCCAAATTATATAAAACAAGAAAAATATGGAGTAATTGTCTATACAGCAGTGGCAAATAATAGCAAAAGTGAGAAGAGAAAAAGTCTTAATACAGCTATAAGAGAAAAGTTGTTTCTGCTAAAGCACATAGTTAGAATACCAGACCTGTTTAGATTATTATCTAGCATTGAAGAGGTAAAATAAATCTCTTTGTTAGGATCGAAAAATCGGGTAGTGCGAAATTTAGCCAAACAATGTTATAATGACAATAACAAAAATAATGCAAGTGTTCTCAAATGAGGAGAAGCTCCTCTATTTATAGCAAGAAATATTTGGCTTAATAGTGTATATTATGTCACGGCAAATGTCATAAAAACTTGGTCCACAAATTGTATTATAGTGGATATTATGTCATGGCAAATGTCATGAAAATTTGGTCCTCACTTGAAAATAAGCCAAATTAATGGCCATATTACACTCTTGATACAAACTAATTTTAGATACGATCTCTTCCAAATTCTTGACCATTTTGTTGGTTCTTCGTTTTGCTTTGAAGCTTTTAAAAATGGAGATTGGCTTAGCAGTTGGTAGTGCATTTATCTCTTCAGGCCTTGCAGTTCTCTTTGATAGGCTTGCTCCTCAGGGTGAGCTGCTCAAGATGTTTCAAAGGCATAAGCATGATTTTCGGCTATTTAAGAAGCTGAGGATGACTTTGCTTGGTCTTCAAGTTGTGCTGAGCGACAGTGGCGAAGCTAAGAAATTCTATAAGGGTGTTCAAATTTTGAATATCCTTTGCCAATGAGCTATGCAAGGGTGTTCAAAGTCTATTTTTAATCAATAACAAGTAATATTTTACCTTATATATAATATAATTTTTCGGCGAATGGTGGTCAGTTGACCACTCTTGGGCCAATAGCTTCGCCCCTGCTGAGCGATGCAGAGAACAAGCAGGCATCAAATCCGTACGTGAGCCAGTGACTTAGTGAACTTCAGAATGCTGTGGACAATGCTGAAAACTTAATGGAAGAAATCAATTATGAAGTTTTGAGACTTAAAGTGGAAGGTCAGCATCAATATCTTGAAGAAATAAACAACCAACAGGTAAGTGACTTTAACTTGTGCTTGAGTGATGAATTTTTAGTTAACATAAAAGAGAAATTGGAAGACACCGTTGAAACGCTAGAGGAGTTGGAAAAACAAATTGGTCGCCTTGACCTCAAAGCCTATATTGATTCGGCTAAGCAGGGAAGTACTAGACAAGAAACTTCTGTAGTTGATGAATCTGATATCTTTGGATACATACTCTCCGGTTACAAGAATTACGTTCATACGAATGTTAGTAGCATTAGCTGCAGTTTATGGTTTTGAAATTCATCAAATGGACGTTAAGACGGCCTTCTTAAATGGAGATTTGGAGGAAGAAATCCACATGGAACAACCTGAAGGGTTTGTGGTTCTAGGTAAAGAAAAGGAGGTATATAGACTTGTTAAATCCCTTCATGGACTAAAACAAGCACCCAAACAATGGCATGCGAAATTTGACCAAACAATATTGTCAAATGGCTTTAAGATAAATGAATGTGATAAATGTGTGTACATTAAAAATGTTCCAAATCACATAGTCATTGTTTGCTTATATGTGGATGATATGCTGATAATGAGTAATAACATTGCCAACATAAATGCGACTAAGTGTATGCTAACTAACAAGTTTGATATGAAGGACTTGGGAGTTGCTGGTTTAATTCTGGGTATTAAGATCCATAAGACTCCTCAAAGTCTGGCATTGTCACAATCTCATTATATTAAAACAGTACTTGAAAAATTCAAGCACTTAGATTATAAAGTTGCAAAGACTCCAATTAACGTGAATCTTGCACTAGCAAAGAACAAAGGCCAAAGTATATCACAATTGGATTATGCTCGTGTGTTGGGATGTTTAATGTATATCATGAACTGTACACGACCAGATATAGCTTGTGCTATAAGTAAATTGAGTCGATACACGAGTAATCCAGGTCAATCTCATTGGATGGCAATGAAACGAGTTTTGGGATATTTAAAACATACTCAGGACTTTGCTTTGCACTACAGTAAATATCCTGCGGTGATTGAGAGATATTGTGATGCAAATTGGATCACCGATTCAACTGATTCTAAGTCCATAAGTGGATATGTATTCACTATTGGTGAAGGAGCGGTATCTTGAAAGTCGTCCAAACAAACTTGTATTGCCCGCTCTACAATGGAGGCTGAGTTCATAGCCTTAGATAAAGCCAGTGAAGAAGCTGAATGGCTCCGAAATTTCTTGGAAGACATTCCATTTTGGCCCAAACCATTAGCACCAATATGCATACATTGCGATAGTCAAGCGGCAATTGGAAGGGCTGGGAGCGTTATGTATAACGGTAAATCTCGTCATATATGACGAAGACATAAAATCTTTAGGTAATTACTCTCTAGAAGAATTATCACGATTGACTACATAAAGTCAAGCGATAATGTGTCGGATCCATTTACGAAAGGCCTAACTAGAGAGATAGTTGAGAAATCATGGAGGA